CCTTCTGCAGGAAAGTGGTCGAAAAGTTGTAGTAGACTTGGCCACAACAATCAGGGAACAGCTACCTTCTGATCACCAGTATTCTGATGGCAAAAAGCAGCAACAAGCTAAGAACAAAAGACTAGACCTTCTCAGGTCGTTCGACAGGAAACATCGTGAGCTAATTAAAGAATCGTACGAAATCAACATTAAATGGTCCGAAGACCGCATACCTCATATAATTGCCGGGTAAATTTTTATATTTCTATGCATTATATTTAAATGGCATTTCATATGCATAGCATGAACGATTTCAGGTATGTTACGAGCCACATTTATAGATTTTGTCTAATCTTAATGGTGATAATAATAATAGTTTCTGTTCATTTTCCCAAACAGTATCTCTCCCACCTTGTTTAAGTTATGTCTTCGATCTGGAAGAGAGGGATCGTCATCATCGGTTCAGTATATATTACTATTCTGGTTGCCATTCATCCTTCTGCATCCATCATTCAAATTTTCTTCGTTGCAGGCTTGCCACCGTTGTGAAGCATTACTGACGTCTCTCTAATGCTCATCAAGCCCGATGGATTCAAAGGAGAGGGGAGTGAAGCACTTTGTGACGTTTCGACCATGCGACGTAGCATCATTGGCCATTGACAGGCAACATCACCGTCTTAACCTGCCAAAGCATGCTCCTTCACCACTTTCACACCCTCTGTTGAGTTGAAACACGTAGAATTATTTTCAAAAATTTCTAGTCACTGACTCGTAATTCGTTTTTAATTCTACCTAGTTCAATTATTTCCTGTTTTCACTGCCTCCACAGACGACTCCTTTCCATTCGCGGCTAGTCTTCGCCAATGCCGATATTATATTATTGCCTCTGTTGTTGTTTATGTCATCATTTTCTAACACTGACCGAGATTGAATAAGAGAATAGCCGAGATTGATGACATCTGACCAGATTAATGACATGGCAGTATCGTTTCATTTAGACAATTATCATGAATTTCTGGATACAAGACTGCAAACCGTTATTCTGCTAGATTGTGAATGTACTGGCTACCCAGACTTGAAAGGTGTGCTGCTTTCTCGTCTTCCTTGCTTCATGCCTCATTCATCCCCTGAACCTTCCGTTAAAGTTGATTGTGAATTGTAAACAACTTTTTAGATGGTAGACATGTGATTGATGAATTACACTATGATTTTTTTTCGAATTCATGACAACGGCATAGTCCTGCCGTTCAACCTTTAAAGTCAAATTTATTTGCTCTAAAGTTATCTTAGTTATTCTTTATCGAATGGCATAATGACGGAACTTCTGTTTTATGGTTATAGCTGCAATGCTGATAGCCACTGTACGGCGTCTGGGATTGTAAGATGAATTCCACACGAAAAGTAGTTGTGATTTATCCGTGGTTTTTATAAGAGGGACAAGGGTTCATGCCATCGACACATTACATCGTTTATAAATCTGAAGATTTTTAATATCTTTCTACTCATATAAAAAGTTATTACAGAAATATCGTTTTTATCTAATCTACTATCGCCAGGGTAAGCAGACTCATCGACTTCCATTTTGGATCTTTAACCAAACTTTGGTTTCGGGCATTTCGAATAGCTTCTATTTCAGCCCAACAAGTGCTTAGTCCTCCCCGCGGGCTCTTAGCACGAAACCATGGGTTTAGAATGTATTTCATGATTTCCGTCCCATCGGTTGCACCAGATGACTTGTCCTAACATTAAGGCTCGAATTCTTAGAATCTTATAAATTTTCATGAACTGTTTCGTCTGATGGAATTAGCATGCATATAACTATGTCTCTTTCTCGTTATCCATCTGTCTACATATCAATCTACGTATCTCTCTACCTGTGTAAGCATATACCTGTTTATGCCCAACTTCTATAAGCAAACAACTGACAGAAATCACTTACGAAGTCATGATTCACAAGAACGTCCCTCATTTTCCAAGAGGCCGATATGAGGAATGAAGATAAATATCCACATTTATCCAGGTTCTGCTGTTTGTCTCCGTCCAAATGTTCTAAAACGTTTTTAACTAACCTCACGCCATAATTTGTACGTGTCATTTCATCACAGTGTGCAGAGTTGACGAGAAAAATGCTGACATGTCAGTCATGTGTAGTCGAAGAGTAAAGCATTGGATTGTGGGAGTGAACCTGACGGTGTTAACTTTAAGGATACTTCAGCGAAACCCATCTTTGAAAAAAAGGTTTCCATTAAAACGCTACATAGACGATTCTACGTTACTGTTTGAAGAGAAACTACACAGACAGACAGAAAAGTGTCATCAAGGCATGCGACAGCTCATCTCACAAATCTTAGAAGACGACGAGAGGCTGCTGCCTCTGATCGATCGAATATCCATCACCCACGTGAAAAAAAATGTCGACAACACTCTGCTTCAGGTACGCCTGCTATTGTAGTTTCAAATGCCTCATTTTCTTTCGTTCAAGAACTTCTTTCCTCAGTTGGCTGCTGACTTCAATTTGAAAGAAACTGAAGAAGTGTGGAAAGCTTGGAAAAACCTGTTCAAGATGATGGACAAATACGCGGAGTTCGTAAAGCAAAATATGAAATTGCTTGAATGAAAATACGACGTTGATATGAAATTAATGTTTCAGTCATATATTTTATGGACATGATTAAACAATAAATGTAAGTCTGTTGTGCTTTCCGACATGCAGTATTTTTGTATCAAAAACGTGATTGTTCTATTCAGGCTTAATTGGGCCATTTGGAAGGCCATTGTTGAGCTCTCTCAACAAATGAAATTGATCAATAAAAATTTTGCTATAAAGGTCCTTTTGAAGGAGCAAATGATGACACCACACTCATTCGATCCAGACAGAAATTATCAGCCTTTCTCAGAGATGTGTATAATGTGAGGGACTAGTTTCTGAAATGTGTTTCTAATCGTCAATTATAGAAACTCTTAACTTCTCGTTTTTGCAGCATTCCAACCCGCAAATTCCAGAGAATATCGTCAGCATATTAATTTTGTAGTTTAAAATCCACTATGCAAACAAAACAAATAAAGGAATAAACAATGTTTCATTCAAGAGGAAAGTACCTTGAGAACATTCATCTGTCGACATTAGGATCTCGTTCATCAGTTGATAAGGTATAGTCATGTAGAGCTTATTAGATTGCGCTGTTCGTAGCCTATGATTTATTTTTGGTAGCAGAGCAATGATACCACCTTATGCGATATCGTTGGAGATGAATCTGATACAGAAGTAGCAGAAAAATGATTCGAAATGCGCCTAGCACTGCAGGTACTCAAACATCATAAAGTCGTGGCCTACGTTTGAATGCCGCAGGCAACTAGCGGTGCAATTAGCTGGGAAATGGGGCATTGGAAGAATCATTCGTTATTCCAAATTCTCAGGAGAACGAACAGTTTATAAATGGGATGGGTTCAAATATGTATGGAACACTTCAGCGTAAATTTTCGCGGCAAAAACTAAGACGTCTCAGTTGTCTTAAGGAATGCAGATCATTATGAAATACTTAGTGTTTCCTTACCAGATTTTGGCGTCGTCGACCTCATCGTCATAATTTATTTTTCAGAGCATTCGCAATAGAACTTCGCCTTGAGGAAGCAGTTAATTATGTTGAGTTCGTCATGTTTATAATTGACAAACTCTTGTAAGACCATGAAACTTTATAATGCTATTCATTTCTTTTTCGCTGACGCGTTCATGCAAATTATCATTTTCTTTTGTTCATTGTACAGAGTGAACTGTACGGAAGACCATTGGTCCCAGGCTTTGTTTTTCTATAAGTCAACAATTACAGACACGAGGTGAAAATTACCGAATGAACGTTTACCGATGGGATCGGCAGAAACTTCTTGTACGATGCCACTTTTCCCGCCTGCAGAGGACACTTCAGACCGGACGACTTGCAGCCGTCATTGTCAACGAATTCCACGTTCTCTCGATTGGTCAGGGATGTAAACACGCCCTTGCCCGACACTGCTGCTATTGAGTTCTCTAAAATCGATTTGTTTCTTTTGCATTGGTCTCCAGATTCCGCTATCGTACTTGGAATAAACTTCACTTCCACGGTCAGTCCAAAGTCAGACACCGGGTGGCTCGGAAGAAACGAATGAGACATCACTTGTACTTCGGATCCTAAAATTAGCCGCCATCAGAAACCAGATTTGTGTTTTCATGTGATCACTCACTTACCACAGTCGATGACAGTAAGCATCACCGATTGACGAGTTATGGTCATCTGCACCATCCAAAGAGCAAAGAAAAGAAAGATGTTAGGACAGGACGCCATCTTGTTTCCGTTCACAATGTCTACAACATCACACTGAAACGTGATTGACACTTCGCTAGCCAACAAGCACCGCGTTTGATCAAACGTGCAACAGATTTAAGGACTTTCAGGGGGGGCACTCGCAAAGTTCTCTCTCGTTTTAAAGCCGAGCAACCGACGCGATCAATGGAACCGACCTCGGGCCAGATGGCTCGGTAATGTGGATCACACGACATTTTTGCTCACCGGATCTCCCTCTCTGGGGCCTGCTGAAATGGCGAAAGACCAAAAATAAAAGTAAACTCAAAGAAATTTCTGTCCCCGCCGCCTGAGAGGAATAAAAACTACGTAAATGAATGAATAATGGCATTAGAATCAAGCTATTGCATGCTTCTAAGAAAAGCACACGTAAATTTTAAAATGTACATGCAAGCTTCGAGATAATTGATGATCAAGTTATGTTGATTTTGTTTATGCTAATTCAATCATGTGCCAAAGCGTTATTCAACTAGATAACTATGTAGTATTCATAGTAAAAAAAATTGATATGGAAAACTGTCTTCAATCAGCAGCAAACAGACAAGTTGATACGGTTCTAATTTGCCGTTGCTACCATGTAATGTAAAGACGGGTTGAGCAAAAAAGGCAGAATTGCAGAATTACTGATTGTTAATATGCATTAAATTATTTTAAGATTATGCATAATTGAATACTGCATTTTATGAAACAGCTCCTTACATGCTTGCAGGCGCGTATTAAGTTTAACAGGCTGCTACGCGTTGTCCAGGTTAGCCATGGTTTGTTTTTACCCTGGCGCTTCGAGCTATCCCATCGATTCCGAGAAATGGGCGACTGAATAACAAATCATGACTTTACGTACTAACGTTGACAAGCCACGCGCGTCTGCCTGAAAACTAACGTTTGCAGCCTGCGAGCGATCGCCTGGCTTTACTTCAAATGAATCACCACGGCATAAAGAACCATATTTACCTCCGTTATGCCTCTCTGTTGCATCTCCCGTCCTCATACCTACTCGTAACTTCTACGTTCCATCGCATAGCCAAAGGTATGCAATAATTGAACAACTACAAATATGAAATGTCTGGCAGAGAATGGGCGTTGATGAATTTCACTTAGGCCTGCTTCACGAATGGTAAACTTCGAATT